ACTTTCTTAGTTAAAGCATTTAACTTTTCTTAGTTTGGGATTAGTTCCCCTAATCCCAAATCTAACTGGACATGTGCATGGGTGAGATTGTGCTCTCCAATGCTCAGCATTATCTTCTGCCCTAGAAGCAAAGCCCAACGCACAAAGCTCTGCTGAGGAGAACCAGATGCAGACCACCCCGGTCATTGTGTAGGCGTATTCCCTGCAGTCCCAACTGGATTCCTCACTCTGCTCCCTACCCCACTATTTGGACTAGCGTGCCAGGTTTGTCTATGCTACATGCTCAGTTCTGCAGTTTTGAAGTAGTTCACACTCCTTTTTAAAGTCCTGGTACACATACTCCTTTTGTACAACACTGAGCATTACTTTGGCTTGCTTATCCCATCCATTTATTTTTCTAATAGAATAATTGTAACAGGCTTTGCTTGTTGTGAAGCAACTTAGACCACTAACAAGCAATGTTTTTTCCCTGTAAAAATATTTTTCTCAACTCAGTAAAAAAGGGTAACAGAAACGCAGCTGTCTTCTTTCATTAGCATTTCATGACCCAGTCACTAATGATAAGAAGAAGGAAGAAATGCAGACATCAAAGGCCATGGAAGCAGAACTATCTGATGAGAATGGTGTCAAAAGGGTCGCATGACACATTGGCAAATCTTTAAGTGCTTTATTAAAATTTGAAAGGAAATATGTCTAAGACCTCTTCTACTCTTAGATGCTAGTTGCTTGCCTGATATTTGAATAATACATCTATCTCCTAAGATACTATTTAATTTCCAATGAACTTTTGTAGAAAAGTTTTCCTCATTGAAGTTATGGAACAAACAGGCATAGAAGGCCAAACAGGATTTTGCCTCATCCATGTCATCTGATTTCATATTTCTCTCACAGGAAAATGAATGACTGAAGTAGCTTGGAATCTAGAAACAAAACCCTGGATTGTATTCCACTGCTTCAGAGGAAAAGGAATTTTTGCGTGCTTTTCTGATTCAAGTGATTAGATGGAGTGAACCGCTTTGTGGAGCACTGGATCTAAAAACCATGCAGCACCAAAGTATTATACATGAAGGATTAGACAACCAGCAAGCTGGGACTTGGTGTCCCTGAGAGCAGAATAGATGGGTCATCCTTGCTGTATCATCTCAAGTACATAGTAAAGATAGCCATGATAGCCCTATAAAATCTTAATCATTATTTAAAGACCCGTTACAATGGTTTGGCAGGAGAAAACACAAATATTTTTTACAGTTTCAAAAGAAATACCAAACAAGACCTGGAGGGATAAATAAGACTGACAACAGAGGATGCTTCTGTTTTTCTCTCAAATAAAACAGGAAGCCTGAATAAAGTGTCAGCTTTTGTGATCAGAAGGGGATGTGTAGCCTGACTTGCATCATATATGGCATTCTTCAAATACAGATAAAGTAGACAGATGTGCCCCCTAGTAAAGAAAGCAGAAATAGAAAGCTAGCATGGAACTGAAAGCTTCAGTTCCCATTCCACCACACTACAAGTCTTTGGTAGGAGTTGAACCATTCCATTAGATAATATATGTGCTAATTTCTTTCATGCTCCACACAATTTCTCATTTTTCAGCTGCTGAACTGTATTATAAAAGGAATATCTACACATTTATCTAGCTGTAATAGGAATAGTGAACTAAAATACATAAGAACAGATGCACCACCCAAGGTTTGTCTAGCCTCAAATACTTAAAATTATTTAATAATTATCTATTTATTACCAGAATCAGGTTCTTATGGAAGAGTATCAGAACAAGGAGACTATATAGTGATATTTCTCTGTAATAAACTTGTGGTTCAGGAACTTCCTGAGCTAGCAATATTTAAATAACCCTTTCTTTCATGATTTTTTTGTTGCTCTTTAATTCATGGGAACTTCTGCATCAACAGTACTTCATGGAAACTATAAAAGTACATATTCAGTTGAGCTGTAGGACAAGTATCTCTTTATTTTGGACCTACAATCTACTGGTTTTATATGATAACTCCTAGCAGATGGGAAAATGAGTCTCATTCTCTATGCAATTCATGACTTTAGAGATACAGATCTTAAACTAGAATGATATCTATCAAATGTCTATTTTCTAGGCCACAGAGTTCAAGTCTATTCAGGCTTTTTCCTCTCATATATAGGTCATTCTTTATCTTGATCTCTCTGTATAATTTCAAGTTTTGTTAACTATATCCTCAGATGCACTGAACAGTACTAACTACAAATTTGTTTATTTAAATGAAGACTATGCTCTAAAAAAGGCTTGTGAATGCACATTGAAAATAGCTTCAACAGTAAGAGCTTATAAATGTGCATTATACTTCCTTTATTTTAGTCTTTAAAATAATAAATGAAAGAAATCGACTTTTCTCACATACTTCTAAGCAAGTTCCTTTTTAAAAGTATGGAAAAATATGTATTTACATGATTCACTGAAAGTAAAATAATAAGTAGCAGAGACATAGTCAGGTATTATCATTAAAAATTTCATTTAAACAATTTATTTTCAATTTATATATTAATAATTTAAGCTTTCTTAGAATTATATGAACATTATATGAATACTTATAATATATATAATTATATGAACATTACTATAAATACCATCCTATTCTAATAGTAAATGCAATTAAAATAAATGTAATTATCAAGTTAATAATATAATATTATGATATTATATAATATATTATATATATTATCATATCATAATAATTATCAGAAAGTTTATTTAAATAATACATTTTAAAAGGAATTTTTTCATAGAAGTAACTATAAATTCTCTTTGATTTGGATTTCCTACATTTTTTTGAGAAACAGGACATCTTGTCTGAGCAATATCTCTTAACCATAGGAAAAAACCTGAAGACTTAGTTAACTACATAAATAAATACATGAGTTAGCTTTTGAATCTCAGTTTTAGGGTCCTGAGAAGCCCTTATCTCATTCCAAAACAAACCAGAGATAATGTTCAACAGAACACACATTTCCATGGCCTTGGGAGTGCCAGGTTAGGAATGGTTGCTATTCAGATGTGATTGATATCGAAGTGTCTGGCAAAAAAATGCTGGTTTATTTGTTTTTTCCCCCTTCTCTATATCTTCTTTATATGTACTGTTATTTCCAAGATGTTATTTCAACTTTCTCATTCCTGGTCTGCCAGGAAAATAATTTATTGACCTTTTCACCCCTTTAATATACAAGTGCACTTGAGTGTAGCAATTTCTTACAGACCTTATTCTCAGCCAGTTCATTATGTTCTTTCCAAAAACTACTTACAAATTATCATACATTTTAAAAAACAAATTTGTTAGGATAAGTAATGCAAGTGTTTCACCCTCAGGAAAATGTGAAGAATAACCATTTTTTTGGCATTACGCCTTTAATTTCTTCCTTTGTTTCTTCTCCAACAAGAGACTATCCTGTGTTTCTCACACAAATCCTACTACATTCTTGTTAAGAATTGTATCTTCTATGATCACCACCTGAAAGAACAACCATAGTTTTCTGAGACGTTATTTCTCCTTTTTGCTCATCTCAGTTTCTAAAACCAACTTTCTGCTTTTCTCTTATATATTTCCATGTTCCACTTTATATTTTGTTTTCAAATACACCAATACATTAATTAATCAGTAACAAAATGAACATTAGGCATAATGTGAACCTGCTACTGAATGGAACAGGGATTCCATTGACAGAGGTTGCACAAAAGGCAGAATTAGTGAACATCTTCTTTGCTTCAGTCTTCACTGCGAATGCCACCCCTCAGGAATTCTAACCCAGAAGATCAGGGAGAAGGTCTGGAAAAAGAAAGACTTTCTTTTTGTTCAGAAGGATTGGGTAAGAGACCATTTAGTCAAACTTCACATCCACATGTCTATAGACCCTGACAGGATGTATCCATGAGTACTGAAAGAGCTGCTGGGCACCATTATGAAACCATCTTTGAAAGGTCATGGAGATCAGGAGAGGTGCTGAGGACTAAAAGAAAGAAAATGCCACCTTTGTCTGCAAAAGGGGAAAGAAGGAGGACCCAGGAAACTAGCAGCCAGCCAACCTCACCTCAATCCCTGGGAAAGTGACAGAGCACCTCATCCTAGGGACCATCTCTATCCACATGGATGACAAGAAGGTCACCAGGAGTCTGGAGTCAATGTGGAGAAATCACACTTGCTCAGCCTGACTACCTTGTACATTAAGGCAAGTACCTGGATGGATGAGGGGAAAGCAGTCATACTGTCTACCTAGACTTCAGCAGATCTTTTGACACTGTCTCTAATGACAGGCAAGCACAAGATCCTGCACCTGGGAAGGAACAATCTCAGGCACCTTGGGCTGACCTGCTTGAGTGCAGCTCTGCAGAGAAGAACTTGGGGTCCTGGTGAACAACAACTGTCCATGAGCCAGAAGAGTGTCCTGGTGGCCAAGAAATCCAGTGGTATAATGGGGTGTATTAGGAAGAGCATTGCCACCAGTTCATGAAGGTGATCCTGCCCCTCTATTCAGCAGTGGTGAGTATAGAGCACTTGAGATGTTCTTGGCTCCTCAGGACAACAGAGACATGGCGTTCCTGGAGCAGGTCCAGCAGAGGCTACAAAGATGATGGGGGGACTGGCACATCTCACTTATTAAGAAAGGCAGAGGGAGCTGGTTTTGGTTAGCCTGAGAAAGCCTGAGAGGGGATCTACTCTTGTGTAAGGATCTGAAGGGAGAATGAAAAGAGGACGGACCAGGCTCTTCTCAGAGGCAACAGAGAGACAATGGGCAGAAACGTAAAAATAAGTTCTACTTGAACATGAGGAAGAACTTCTTTACTGTGAGGGTACCTGAGACACAGAACAGATTGCCCAAAGAGGGTATGGAGTCTATTTCTCCAGAAAAGAGATTAATAAAAAGCTGTCTGCACACATTCCTAAGTACTGTCGGTCTAGGGAAACCTGCTTATGTAAGGAGGTTGGACTAGATGACCTAGAGTAGCCCTCACCAACCTTAGCCATTTGACGATTCTTTTTGGTTCCAAGTTTCTTTTTGATTCCGTGACCTCCTTAAACAGGCACTTCCTTGGCTTTTTCTTTGCTCCATGGGACATGACACATGCTGCACACTGTAGAAATAAAGTGTTATTTTTGAAGAGCATCGTGCTACAGCTAAGGAGGAAAGGAGCATGCTACATTCATACAACATCAGTAAAACCTGTTCTGGTACCACTGTAATCTATACCAGGACTAATGCACAGTTGACTCCATGCCAAGGAAATCATAATATGCTTACAGTGTGCTTGCAGTGCACTTACAGCCTTCTCTACGCTTAAGGCTAGTTGCTCAAAATTGACTATTTTCTCTTATTATTGCATTTATTGTAATTGCTGTTTATCCAGCAGTAGACTGAATTACAATCTCAGTCTCAAGAACTGAATATAGGTTCTTTAGGACAGATCTAAGATCACTGGAAGATAAACACTCTGAGAGGATCTTATAAACCTGTTGTTCTTTTTATGAATATTTATCATTTTGTTTCTCCCAAACAACTCACTAGCAGTACCTTTTAAAATCAAACACGAGCACAAATATATATTACCTGCACTAGTGTAGTTTAAAGGTGGAACATGAAGGATTGCAGGTACACAAGCAACATGAAGGTTGAAGTCCTTTGTAAGAATGGCCTGACTTGCTTTAAAAACACAGGATCCAGTAAGACACTTCAAGGAGTCCAACTGTCAAGGCAGGTATTTCAAGAGCAGCCTACCTCAGTGGAGCTTCTAGATAATGGCAGCACAATAAAGAAGAGGTGTTATAATAGATACATAAACTATGTACATGTACCCCCTTCTTAAAGCCTTTAATCTCAACTAGATAAAAAAGATCTTTAAATAAATGTATGTTACAAACTGTAACTATCAAACTAAAATGCTAATTAAAGAGATATGTTACAGTGTAAATTGTTTATATAGGCATAAGGTTTTAAAAAGTTTTACCAGCTTCATTATTTAAACCAGTTAAATATTTTGTTTTAACTGCAGACTCCATGCTTCACTAGATTAAGAAAAGAAGATAAATTGGAAAACCCAAGCCTATAGTTGTTTCACTAAGAAATATAGGAGGACACCTAAAATTTTATAAAAAGTCCAATCAAGACTGAATCTGAAACTGGTGACCTCTTCAGAATTATAGTTATGACTAGCTGGGGTACATGGGAGAATCCACCACACCCTGAATTTCTTTTCCTACTTAAAACAAATCTGAGAAAAAGCCAAATGTTTCATTCCTCAGGAGTAAGGGTTTTTAAAAATTAGGATATAGTGCAATAATCAGTTTTCAACATTTTAAAACTATTGTTTGAGGTCTGTGAGCATTTTCTTTCATGGGAGTAATGGGAAATTGTTGGCAGTTGATTCAGGTTTTCTGCTTTGATACCATATTTGATGGTATGTTATTTAAATATCTAGAAAGATAAAACAATGAAAAAACAACAAATAGTATTTTCAATTACAGCGGAAGCTTGGAAAACTGGTTCACCTTCCATTTTACATGGATTTTAATTACCATCAAAGACACTAGGTCTGGTATCAATATAAGAGCATCACAGCATTTATTCCATTGAAGACAGTTGTACTTCTCTAATAGTGTTTAATATAGTCCTAACCTTTTAATTCCAAGATATTCTCTATGTAAAAATAATATCTAATATTATGTTTCCAGTTCTACTAATACCTATTTTGCTTGTTCATACTTGAAGAAATTACATAAAACTCTACAACTGAAGAACAGTTTTATTTTTCATATATTTCTGTTTTGTGTTCTATGGTTTTGCTTTTTGCCTTCTAGTTTTCCTGTTCATAATTCAGTTAAAACCATCATAACCATTTGAAAGAATATTATCTGGTGAAGATATAATATGTATATTGTGTAATTTTAGAGTTTACAGAAGAGCTGTATAATAAAAGGAATAAAAGAGAATTTAGAGTCTCCTGATTTTAAGAGTTCATATGTGAGTTCCACTTCTGTGGATAACATGGTATTCTAAAAAGGAATAGAGAACTGGTACTTTTGAAAAAACATTCATTTGCTTTCATTACAGTCACAAATCTTGAATCACCTGGAGGGAGGCAGATTAAAGTGTTTTTTATGCTCAGAACTACTGGAAGCTGAGTTCATACCTCAGACTGAAAACCCATTATTCCAGGTTGGGGAATGAGCTCTTGGTGCTTAATTTTAAAGTAACTTACTATGTATCAGATTTCTAAATCATTACTGAATGAAAAATCATATTACAAGAAGTTTAGATTGTATCATTAATTATCTTTTATCAATGACATTTACAAGTCAAAACTCATACACATTTGTGTAGAATCTGCAATACTAGCACATTTTGCATATATGAGTCTATCAGCAACATGTACAGTATGAACAACACTTTTAGCAGCTTGACATTTCTGCTATATAGAGCTTGAGTTCCATTAAAAAAACCCATTAAAAATTCCATTAAAAATAATTTTCCATTAAAAAAATAATTTTCTTACCAATCTCCTGTCTTTTTCATGACAAATAATCTACTAATAATCTGAGCCACAAGAGGGCACACAATAAGCATTTGGCAGCCCAGCAGCCACAAAATGTATATAACTTTGTAAAAAAAACTGCAAAGTATCTTGTGTAAATGTTTCAGAAAGCCTAGAAAAATTAGTGTTTGTTGGATCTAAAAAATTACAGCTTGATAAGCTAAGTAAATATTTTTCCCCTCAAACGCAAGTGTATACACCACTGCGCATGAGTTTTGATGAAAATGCATATGCATTTATCCATACAAATATGTCTTCCCTTCTAGTGAGCCTTGGAAATTATTTCTCAGTGCAATTAACTTCTAAAAGCCATGCCCATGCTTATATGTGTACATGCTTGTATGTGTCCACTTATAGTTGTTAACATCTATGAAAAGAAAGTAAGGAACCATGTAATTGCCAGACCCTGGATAAGTAGATTTGTGAATGAATGTAGATGATATTGTTTCAGAAAGAAATCTAATTGGAAAACTGAGAAGCAAAATCCTTTTATGTTCTCTCTTTTAAGTCCTGTCTGTTAATTTTCTTATGCTGCAGAAAACTTTGAAATATAGAATGCTGTAAGCAATGAATGTAACTGGAGAATTTAGATTTGGAGTAATTTGTGTTTCATGATTCTGTAATTTTGACATAATTGCATACTCGTATGAATTCAGTGTGCAAGTACTTTATCACTGCAGGGGGACTTTGAAGACGTAATTTAGATAGGAAAAGGCTCTTCACAACAGTTGTGGCATATTTTAGCCTAAAACTAGATCAAGAACTCTTAGCAAAAGCTCACAGTTAACATTCCTGATACGAATTTTCAGTTACACTTAATAAACCTTCACATAATATTTCTTTTCTCATTTTCAAGACTCTTTCAAGCTCTGCATCACTGTTACTGTTTCCTTCTCTTCGCATATCACAGTCCCATGATCATCCACCTAAATATCCATGTCTTATTTTTCCCATTTGTACTCCCACAAATTACTCTTACATATTCTACATGTCTATTATTTTCTTTTCCCATTTAGTTTAAGATTACTTAAGTCGTACACATAGTAAACACTACATAGTAGGTATACAGATTTTTTTTTTGTACTTAAGGAGTAAGGAGTACATAGTGCTAATACAGCCTTATTTCATAGTTTTATACAAAGAAGCAAGCAGTTTTAACCTTTTGCCTCAGAGAACAAGCAGACAGTCTTAAAAGAAACTAGAATAAATCTACCTTACAAGCTGTTGACTTGGCCTCCTATAGATTACCCTTCCTACCCTATATGTGCCTGGTACACAAGTAAAAGACATAGCTAGCAACGTCTTCATGTAAATAAAACCATGTTTGGAGTCAAAGTTCAAGTGCTGTCTCTGTTACAGTTTGAAATAAATAAGCATGGTCTGAAAAACAGACAATTTCTAAGGACTGCTCACAGGAATTCTCATATCTTTCTGTTGGGAAAACTGGCTGCCCATTTTCATCTGGTTCAGACCCAATTCTCCACAAGCCTGCTTTGGTTATTGATCCTTTAAAAATCAGGGTGCAAAATCCTCTCTGGCTCTGTATGATTGAGACGTGTCTGCTACAAATCAAATCAAATCACTGGATGAACATCACTAGTTCCTGTGACAGTTTATGGTAGCAATAATAATAAATTTCTCTCTACTGAAAAAAAACCCCACCAAACCTATGCTGACTGTTACTGCAAACAATGCGAAAGGCAGAACAAAAATGGAAGTCTAAAAAACAATAGGTAAAATGTAAGGTCAAGAATATTCCTACTGGGACTTTCACATAAAGCATGACTTTCAAAAAACAGAGCTACATAGAAGAAAAAAAGCTGTGAGAGGTCATAAAAAATTAAAACACTGGCACCCATAGAAGGCAGCTGTTGAGGACAACTACTTTTACAGCAGCCCCATACGCTTAATAAATCCTTAACTGGTAAATCCTTTTGTAAAAAGTTTATTTGCTTGGTATTCCCTCAGTTTCAATAAGAAAAGTACAAGTTGTTGAAAAGCAAGTTAAAAAGCTTTTTCAAAGAAATATGATTATTCTTCCCTCCTTTTTTTTTTTTTTTTTTTTTTTTTTTTTCTCTGCAAGATAAAGAGTATTGATTGTGAATGGGTAACCTTTTGGAAATGCATTCGGTTCTAAGGACGAAAAGGTTGCACTCCACTAGCGTATGTCAGGAGATGGATTGAAGGGTGTTTTAATGAACACAGATTATTCCCGAGAGATTCCAGGAGGGGGAAAAGATGCACGTAGAAAAACCGGATTGTCAAAAAGAATAAGGAAAAACTTCCCTCAGAAGACTTCTAACTATGCTTTTATACTTCTGGCCTCTCATACGTAAACAGCTGCCTCTAGTCTAGGTTACCTTACTTCTATCATCAGCGTGGAGCACCGGCATTCGTAACGCGGCCACTAGAAACAACAAACGAGCTGATGCTCTACGCCAGGCTTTGCATTTCAAAGGGACGGCAGAGGCCCGGGAAGCACACGCCAAGGAGAGGCACTGACCACAGGCCCACGCAGCCCTTCCCCCGGGCCGGGCCGGGCCCGCTCCGCCCT